AGCAAAATGCAGGTATGGTGGTATGGTGAAACAAGACGGTATTTAGAGTCCAAAGCATGTCAGAAATGAGCTCTGGTATCTCTAATATCTCCTGGGCATGGAGCACAGTTGCTCCATTTAAAAAGGTAGTAAAAATTTCTATCCATAGTGTCTGTGAGAATGAAAAGCTTGAACAAATTGTGGGCTGTTGTGCCTAGTCCTAGGCTGGACCTATGTGAAATTCAAATTAATTAAGCAGCAGCTTGGATCTGGAAGCAGCGTAAAAGCAACCACAGTTGAAACAAGCCTTGCAGGAGCCAAGGACACAGAGGAGGGCATCTACTGAAGCCTTCACCATCTCCCTCTGACATTCTGAGCACTCACTGGCCATGGCTGCTGTTAGATGTGATGCAGCTTCATGAAAACAAAGATCCTCGTCTGCCTTCACAATAATTGCAGTGTGAAGTTGCCATGTCTTTCATTAACCCAGCGCTGGGCAAATGCTTTCTACTGCTACAAGCTTTATATGGCTTTTCAAATGAGACTGATTGTGTAATATATTTACTCTCATAACCCTGTGCAGGCTGAGACAGCTGTGCTTGGAGCCCATCTGTGGGTTCCTGAAGGCATGAGATGGCATAATCATAAAGCAAATATAATCATAAGCCCAGCAGAAAAGGACCTGGAGGTGCTGGTGGCAGCAGCTGAACATGAGCCAGATGTGCTCATGCGTCCAGGAAAGCCAATGGATCCTGGCCTGTGTCAGCAACAGTGTGGCCAGCAGGCCCAGGGCAGTGATTGTCCCCCTGTGCTCAGCACTGGAGAGGCCACAGTTTGAATCCTGAGTCCAGGTCTGGGCCCCTCACTACAAGAAGGACATTGAGGGGCTGGAGCGAGTCCAGGAAAGACAACGGAGATGGTGAAGGGTCCACAGTGTAAGACAGGGGAGTGCTGAGGGAGCTGGGGTACTTCAGCCTGGACAAAAGGAGGCTCCAGTATCCTAAATTAAGCATATGAAACTCAATGGATTTTTCTATCTCTTGTGATAGTAATATTTTTATCCTTCATATCTTGGTTCCTGCTAGAGCCGTTTCCCTTTCCATTGTCAACTATAATCATCATCACTGAACACTAAAGCAAATTATTCTTTCAATTTAAGAGCCATACCCAGATTCATGTGTTTCTACTCTGTCCTGTCTGCATAGCAATTAGAACCTGTCATTACTGGCTTTCTTCTGTGTTTACTTCAATATTTTAAAAAATTGTATATATACACACATATATACACAAACACACACATATATATAAAAATGTATTTAATGCATATTTTAAAAGAGAAGAGCATGTGTTTTTCAAAGAGAAGCTTAAATGTTGGAAGTTTTTAAAATTTTACTATGTCCATACCTATTTTTGTATGAACATGTATGTTAAAAAAATTATATTTTCACCAGCTAGTGATAAGACTAAGCAAACAATATCCATGTCAATATCCATGCCCAAACAATGAAATAACTAACACAAACTATGAAAAAAAAAAAAAGTAATTATTTCTATTTTGTTAAAAAAAGGTACTGAAAGTAACTAGAATCTGATATCATTAAAACAGCATAGGAAGAGAGACAGGTTTTTTTACTCTGCTGCATCCAGTTTTTGATTAGGTTTTGTTTATTATTTGATGTTTGGCTCAAAAGAGATGACAGAGTAATGGAGATTTTGTCACTCTCAACATGCTCAGATGACTAAAAAGTTAAGGTCAAAATTTGATGTGTTTTCTGGCTCCAGGCTTTTACAAAATATAATATTCTGACCTATTAGTAAACCATTCCTTAAATGTCACTAAAGGCGTCTCTTGCAAACCATCAGACAACTCTGAATGAACCAGACCTCCTCTGCAAGACAGGAATATTTTTAATTCTTAGCAGAGGTAAAGTAGAATCCAACTATCTTGCACGGTTCCTTGCCACTTGATCAATTTTCATCTCATTATTCCCAGCATTAGCTTGCAGGATTAACTGATTGGGGTGTGTGAGGCATGACATAGAAGAAATTTTTTTTTTTTTAATTTGAACTTGTAGTTATCTCCAGAGGACAACAAAAAATAATTCATCCCCTTATTAAGGATGTTACTGAGGGCAAAGTTATCTGCATTTAACTACTGTCAGTCCATTTTGTGCATGGATATTGCCTATTAGTGCACCATATTTTAATGCACTATTTGCCTAAAACCAGTATTTAGGGAATATATTGGCAGTTTAGTTTTCCTAACTGTGTTCCTGTGAGAAATAGTAGTGAGAGAAACAGGAAGATTAAATTATTAAGATATAATTCATTTTCCAGATTCTAATGCATGATTCTTTTATGCCACTTATCCCAACTAATGAAAGTCATCTTTAATTAGTTTTTGGGATTTGACACAAAAGCTTTCACAAAGGATTTTATAACAGCACTGCCTGAAAGCAAAACCTTTCTAGCAATTATTTGAAAATTCAAGAAAGGAGAATGATGTGACTCAAATGGTTGAACACATAGGAATTAATTACATTAGTACTCAACTCAAGTTTATTTTCACACAACACACTTTTAATAGTAAATATTAAGGGATCTTCTCTGTATGAAGACCTTAAAATCTGGCTATAGAGCTAAGAGTGTCTGAGGCAAGGTTCAGATATGTGGAGCTAATGTGAATCTGACTATATTTTTGTCTTCCTGCCCGTGATGGATTAAACTAAAATCCCAGGAATTACTATGATCCTTGTGGGTATCAAATTCTTAGACCAAATTTTCTATTTGTCCTTCATTCAGAATAATCAAGATGGTCATTATTCCATTTTTTTAAATCCAGTAGTCAATCATTTTACATATACAAGGCTATGAGCAGCTTTCCAGCATATTTCCTCTTTTATTTGGGAGAAAAGAGAAAAAAAGTCCAAATGCATATTCCAACATGAAAAATATGGGGTGATTTATACTTTAATTAATGATCTAATATATATTCCATTATCTTTCAGCCCTGCATACAATAATTCTCATAGTCTGCTATATTTGCACCAATGCACTGCAATTTGCTGTCAAATTGCATTCAGTTTTGTCCACTGAAAAAAATGAATAATGTTTATTCAGCAAACTTTCTACACTCCCATTCCTTATTCCTGACACAGAGATGCAGCATCTGGAACAATACTCTAGGTGATTTTAGGACTGCCATTATTGGACACCTTAGGTAAGTTTATTCTAAAACATTAAAAAGTATAGGACCAGCCCTATGAAATATCCTAATAGTAATTGTCATAATTTTTAAATTACTAAATTGACTTGAGAGTTTTAAAAAAGAATATGACAAGAATCCAACTAATATAGAAGAGCACATGTGTACAAAAACTTGCAGAACATAATATGGACTGAATATATTAAGAATAAATCACTTACAAGTAAGTTAAAGTTACTTGACCCAACTCCAAAGGCATCTGCTTCTTCACTTTTTTGAATAAGAGGTATCGGTTAAAATAATCATTAATGAGAGGGCAGGAATCTGAATGCCTAATGCTTACTAATTTAAGTCCATCTTGGAAAAATGAACTGAAGTTACAGCGGAGTTGAAATCATTAAGCAACAATAGGAATCATGGCAATGAATAAAGACAAAAGACTGGAGGGGTGAATGACCCATGCATGAATTTCAGAAGCAATATGAGGTGATTTTAACCTTACTTAAATTAATCCTGAGGACAGAGGACTATCTGTTTTACCATACATTTTCACTCATTATTTAATGATTAGAAAGAAGAAAAGGAAGCAAAACTACTGGTCCTCTGAAAAAAAAAAAAAAAAAAAAGCTTGTTATGTTCCTTTGATTTCTGCTGAACTTCCTCTGATTAGAGATCATATCACCTTGGTGATTGTCACTAATAAATGCCTTTACAATTATTTTCCACAAAGGACTGACAGGAGCCATGGAAGGGGACAAAGATTTTTAAGATAGAAATCCAGTGAGTGGTATCCTCTGGAAGAGCCCAAAGCTATACATTACTTTAAAATGTTTGGTGTAAATGGTCAAAAACAATCATTAACTTCACACACTCCATGTATAATGGTCAAACCTCCCCACATTGGCAGCTTCCTGCAAATGATTTCTGCAGCATTGATATTGGTCAGTGCCTTTGCAAATGTAAGGCTGAGCATATAACCATTCCATTCTGCAGCAATCAATCAGAAACACTTCTGGGCAGGTAAAGTGATAGGTATATAATGTTCAAAAATCACAGTAGGATTGAGTCAAAGCCCATACTGTTTCTCACCAGTTCTACTGGGAGTAACACGAGAAAGGACCTTTGATTTTCTGTGATTCTCATTATGAATCACATCTATATAAATCACAGATTAGTACTTAGCAGTGCACATACATGCACTTAAAAAAAAAAAAGATTTCATTTTACACTTTTCCAAGTTTTCTTTTCTACAGATTCCCTAGTAAATTTTAAACTTAATCTTTTACTATCTACTTATTTCTCCACTTTGACTATACACAGAAAAATTTTACATTTAGAAATGTAGCCTCACTTGGTAATGAATTTTTAAAAAGTGTATGTGTTAGGATTAAAAAGTCCAACAACCCAGAAACATTGCTAAATGGAAAAATTTGGGACAGTTTACTTAACTTGGCCTACATATTCTGTAACAGCTTATAAAAAAATCAAACTGGTCTGATGCTATTGAACAATGCTACACACACTGGACCTTACAAACACTTGAATATTCCAGTCTCTAGGGAAAATATATTTCTCAAGAATGCCACTATGGGAGGCAGTTCATATATAAAAAGCACTATATTTTACATTTCATGCAATGGCAGTTTGTGGGGGTCTTTTGACTAGTTAACAAAATGGCGTCTATAAGGGTTTTTGTATCTATGAGTCATTAAATAGGCAGTATATATAGAGCTATACAGATATTGTTCTTTTAATCCAGACTTAATTTTTTTTTGAGAATATTTGATTTTAAAGCAACTTTTTGAACAACACCTACTTGAGGTCTTGGGAAGGTTCTGCTCTGATATGGGGTGTCTCCACAGAGTGCCCAAACACTGCCCCTTCCGTGCCTAAAATACATAAATAAAATACAGTAAAATTACTTTGGAAAATAAAAACACATTGAAATATATGACCACAAATTGACACTATTAGGAAAAAATATCTGATAAAATCCTTTATTAATAATTTTAAATTTTTCTTCATATTTACATTTTCATTTCTATATCAAAATCTGGACCAACATCCTGTGAAGCGCTGGATTTCTGCTTTTACACATAGAAATCTGGAACACTTTCAGATCCAAATTTTTCAGAAATGGTTTGGCTGAATGTTTGTCTCCATATTTTGGAGAACAATTATTTTACAGAGAATGGAAATTATATACTGGTGTATAAAAACACAGTAGAGAAATATCTGCTGCATTTTACCTTCTGGTTATTTTGATTACTTAAATTGAGATGCCAAGCTTTTATAAGTTTTGCCTGAAGTTGCTGGCTTAATCTAGATATCTGACAGTTTCGGAGTTTCTTTCTATCAGATCTTTCTCAGTGAAAAAATTTATTCTCATGGAACGTTCTTTGTGTTGTTTTAGAAATGGACACTAAGGTATCTCCTACTAGGCACTTAAAATCCAGACAAAGAAAATGGATAGCAGTTTTTAAAATCTGAATTTCTTCTCTACTGAATTTTGATTTATACTACCAGGTCCAAGTTGAATAAGATAACTCCACAGTTTTCATTAGACAAGCAAGAATTTTCATTGAGAAACTCCCCTTCAATTAAAAAAATACAACTCTAGTAAACATTCACTGAAGTTATTTCAGAAAAAGACAATTCTTTAATAAATTTTAAATGCATTTCTTGAAAGAAAATGATGGGGGAAACAAAAGACAAAAAAATAATAAGGATCTTTGTTCTTTGTTAAAGTAATAGAAAACTCAAGAAATTTATATGTAGGGAACAGCAATATAAAATCAGCATCTCTCTTACCTCCCCCCTCTAAGGACTGAAGACATAAAGGTTATTTATACCCTCACTTTACATTTAATAGATAGAAATAGCCTCCATATGTTTTTAGGCATTTGAAATTTTCCTTCTTTTGTTCACTCGCTGACAACCATCATGCCTAGCTTTGCTTACTGGTTTATCCAATGCCATTACATAAATTTTGCTTTCCTTCTCTGAAGATGGTTTACTGGGTTTTGTGTAAGTCAAGAAGCCTAGAACTAGGCAGGGAAAGTCTTTCCAACAGAGAACCTCCAGCAAAAGGGAAAGATCTCAATAAAAATGTGCAAAATGGGTAATGCATTTATCTTCTATTAAAATAAGATCAAGGAAACTGTCTGGGATAACTATGGCTCATTACTAAATATTCTTTAATTAAGTGCTATATTTCAATAGCAGAAGGTTTCTAAGACTTGAATTCTGAGTTGACCTAAAAGATACCTACAATATCTCAAGGTAGGTCTGCAAGAAGTGCTCAGCAGAACATAGCCACCACTCTAATTGCTACAGTATTTTAAATACAATAAAGTATTTTCAATTCTTAACATATTAAAATATTTAGCAATTTTTATCAGAAAAAACGGATGTCAAAGAAGATAGCTATTAGATACTTTTACAGTTAACCAATGATATTTAGTTTCAAATCATTACCAGGATTTAAAAGCCGAATGATGTTATAAATGCCAAAATGGTAACATTAGTTTTTAGAGTTAAAAGGAAAATAGCCTGAGAAAGAGGCAAAACCCCCCCAAGTTAAGCAAACTTTAACCTTGTAATAATTTTCTAAGTTCCACCTTCATTAAAAGAAAACAAAAATAACCAATCAACCAAAAAAACCCACCAACTCACCCCACCCCCCAAAACTTTAATTGCACAGTAGTCTATTAGTATGGAGTATTGAAGAGAGGAAGAGAAGAGTAATGAATTAAAATCCTAGTTGTTTATCTCCTGGAACCTGTAACCATTACAAACATTCTGGGAAAGAACACCGAAAACAATTTTATTACAACCACTGCTTTGAAGATCTCAACAAAAAAAAACCTGAACAAAATCCATTTTCTGTAACCAAGCTTTACTGTGTGTTATTGTGTTATGGAAAGCCACAGGAGGATAAAACCCAGCATTTCTTTTTTCCTAGTATTACTCCTAAATGTTCTCTACAGAATCTGTTTTTTAAATCTGGCAATGACTTCAGTTTCTCTTTCCTTTAAAATACCAAAATATCATATCTGTACAGCCAGGCCTTCTGCCACTCAAAATAAAGCTCATCCCCATCTGCGAGGAACCTCTCTGGGAGCTGAATATCCAAAATCAGAGTGTGTTTCCAGATCCCATTCATCATTTTCATCAATAAAATGAAATGCATTCAGTGCCAAGGGCCCTCTTTATTTTTGAAGGTGGCAATGGAATATGGAGATGTAAACAAGTGAGCTGAATGCAGAGTTGCCATAGTCTTACAAGAAGACCATGCCTGTAATATTTGAAAGAACATTGTCAACGCAAAGATGCACAAAATTCACTCTGAGTCTGACATTAAATAAATCAGAAGTGACAAAGGTATTATCAGGCAAAGACTTATAACAAAAGTTAAATGACAGCTAGTTATAACCCGATTTTAGTATCTCCTCACTTTCAGCGTCATTATTTTAAAAGATGAGAAGGCATTTCTTCCCTCAGAAAATAGAAATTTGAAAGAAAGACCAAGTTTTTCAAGCAGACTGGAAATCCAGGCTGGTAGAATTAAAGATAAACTGATATAATTAAATAAAATATAGTAAAATTAAAACCAAACAAAATATGCTGCTTTTTCTATTTGAAAATGCAATATTAATGGGTTTATTTTTCTTCTCATACAACTTCAAAAGCAGTATAACAGTTCCTGTAGTAAATGCTTTATTCTTAAAAAAATTACTTTCAACCGTTCAAGAATATCTCCAATTCCCTTTATTACATAGTGGAATAAAAGCAGACACTTTAAATTACTTTGGTATTAGTAAGAAAGGTGAAAAAGATCAGCCAACCAGAATTTATTGATATTTTTTCTGCAGTTAAACAGCAGGGTCAAGAAAAAAGAAGACTATCAGCATTACTAAAAATACAGAAGAAAAACTATATTATCTTTTTTATCAATTTACTATATGCAAATCTGTAGTAATTTAATGGGAAGCTGGACCATGTAGTTCAGTATTCTTAAGAAATGCTACTATACATGTAGCTTCTAATGACATAACTAAATAAATAGAACTATAAAATCAAATTCAAAGTCCATAGCACTATTTTCTAAATGAATAGAAAATAGTGTTCAATGTTAAAATACTTATTTATTACAGAAATAAGTGAATGTTCTAATAACTATGTTCCCAGACTTACAGAATCATAGCTAAGACCTACTTAGCTCCTACTTTGAGAGGAGTGAAATTCTAGTGAAAGATGAATGAATACAAAAAAGGTACAAAGAGTAAAGGCTCGAACCTTAAAACCCTTTCAAGTACAGCTCAAAAGAAAGTAGTTAGGGAACTGAATTCAATGGAACATGAGTTAGAATGGATAAGTATAAGAAGTGAACATTTTAGAGGAAATAAAATCACAAAGCTATGAAGTAGGTGCAAAGGATCTAAAATCAAAATTGTAAGCATAACTGAACAAAACTACCCACCCCTCCAGCTTCTAGTTGAAGGGAATGAGTTAAGTAAAGACTTCACCAAAAAAGAAGCATCTGTGCAGCCAAATTACTGATCAAAAAATACCAGTTGTTATAGAGGTTGCTGGAGAAAACTCAGTAAACAGCACAAGCCAGGTAAGAGGCCAAAAGTTCCATTCTGTTTTTACAGAGAAACCTTTTTATCTTTTAAAACAGAGTTATAAACACCAGACCTTTAAGAAACATTATACAGCACAAATCAAAATTGGGCTTTTGCTACAAGCAAGAACAGTCACACATTCCTGCTGAAATGGAATATTCAGAATTCAGAAAGACCAGTATAGACTACTAATTTCTGCTCAGCTTACTGGTTTCTGAAATTCAGCCTTTCAGCCTCTGGGAAAGAACAGGTGTCATTGAAAAAATGGAAGCGCAACATTGGCATTCAGTTATGGATTATATTTGCTTATGCATGTGCATGCTGAGGAAGTTTATTTCATTTATTTAACTAGCAAATAACCCTTTCATACTTTCTGAGTAGTTAACTTTCATCACAAAACAGTATCTTTCAGTGGCTCTGTAATTAAGTAAGATGGAAAGGCTGAGCTGGGGATTTTTTCTGTTTTGGGTTGGTTTTATGGGGGAGCTTGTTGGAATGTGGGTTTTTTGTTTTTTGGCTGTTTGAGTTTTTTTGTTTTATTTTGTTTTGTGAAAAGAATGCTGGCTTAGGAGTTGATAAGGCAAGAACTAAAAACTAATGAAGTATTTTGCTGTGGAAAATGACCCACATATTACCATTATCCCACTCCTTCACATCATTCATGCAAGCAAATTACCTGACAATGGAATTGTGAATCATTTTGATGTGTACAAACTACATGCCATTGCAGCATCACATACACAGCTCAGTTTTACCACCTTGATTTTTCACTAGGTTTTTCAGAAACATCAGTTACTGAGACAATGCAAGTACTAGACTGGGATGTCAAATTTTCCACTGAGTTACAGACTTTAAAGAAGAGTTTGTAAAATATATATTATTTTTGAAGCTTGCAATTTTATTTGTTGCACATTAATAAGTTAAAGCATTGATAGATTTCACAAAGAGGGATGGATAATCACAACTTTTTTTTACCATTGAAGAGACCTTAAAAACACAGACTGTGTTGTATGTGTTTTCAGTTGGAACTTTAATGTTCTAAAACTTAAATTGCAATAAAAACATCTTAATTATTTTATCATATGTACATAGATAAAATTTAAAAGGTTTTTTAATTTACCTTGAAAGCGGTTGTTTAACAATAAGACCTTGGAGGAGCTAATCACTGCCAGACTGGAAAAAAACCCAGAACTAAGCAACTATACAAACCAATGATCATTAAAAGATGACATAAAATGTTTGTTCCTTCTTTTTTAAAAGCC